AAGTAGCTGTTTATAAAAGTGATTGATACCAAGCCTAATGACCTGATCTTGATACCCAGGATCCAGATGGTGAGAAAGACCTGACTCCCAAAAGTCTGGCTGTGATCTACACACACGCACAGTGTCATATGTGTGCCTGTACTCGTGCACACACAAACACAAATGCATATAAAGCATTCTGTAACTTTATTTTATTTTATGTGCATGCCTGCATGTACGTCTGAATCATGTGTGTACAGTGAACTTGGAGGTCAAAAGAAGCTGTCCGACCACCTGGAACTGGAGTTACAGATGGTTGTGAGCCACCATGTGAGTTCTGGGAATTGAACCTAGGTTTCCAGCAAGAGCAGCTAATGCTTTTGACAGCTGGGCCATCTCTCTAGTTTCTAATATTTTTTTCCTAAAGAAAGTTGTTTTCTTTCTGAACAATGAAAGTGATGAAATGATAGAAAATAGATGCAAACTCCAAACATTATTGCTCAAGAGCCCCAGGAATCCTCACGGTTCTTCACAGGGGAAGATCACTCCAAATGCCATCATGTGCCCATGTACCAATTCTTTAAGAGGGTTAGTTGAAAAACAACACACTAACACTAAAAAACAAAATGAAACAAAACAACCAACCAAACAAAACAAAAACGGGTGGAAACTGATTCCTGCAGTCACCTTTTTGGCTTTCGTCTATCTTTATCTTTGATGGCTCTAGGGTAAGGCCAGGCTAGTGTGTCTATGTCTATAATTACTTCATCCCACATCAAATATTTAAGTTTTGCTGCTCCTACTGAAATGAAAGTAACAGTTGTTGATGGCATTTCTGCTGTCCTAATGATGTCTTAAACACTCAAGCTAATCTTCCTGGGAGAAGTTGCTGGGGCATATCCAGGCCTGTTCTGTTACACTAGACCAAAGAAGACAGTCTTAAGAACCATGATGAGTCTGTAGACAGAAACCACTTCTGCACTCATCACCTCCTGCACACTGACAGCCACTGACTTTTACCTCCAGTTACATACGATGTCCTCATCTGATGACTGCAAGAGCATAAAATAAGAACGAAGAAAGCACTCCTCTATCTCTTGAACTTGGGAAGAGGTAGGAGGATCACTAACTCAAGGTCATCCTACAGAGCCCAGACCACATGAGACTCGGTCTTAAATAGTGAAAAGACAGAATCCTCTCCCTTAATTGCATAAGGTCTCAAAAAAAAAAAAAAAAAAAGAAAAGAAAAGAAAAAAAAAGAATGGTTCAAAGACTTCACCCTAAGTAACTGGGTTCTTTTCTAATGTAAAGAGGCTGTTCTCCATGCCAAAGTGGTTGGAGGGCAGAGAGTAGGGTAGAGGTGGAAGCGGAGGGGTGGGGGTGTCAAATCCCTGAGGTCTCAACCCTATAGAAAAAGACTAGAGGTAACTAAGGAAACTTGGGAGTGGGAGAGGTGACTTTCCCCAGAGAAGAGCAGGACAATTCCTAAACAGTCAGTCCTGAGAACTTATACAAGGATAGCATTATATGGACCAAGTAGGTTATATATAGGAATACGTCTGTATATACAGAGATCTCTTCAGCGACATTTGATGAAAAGGAGGCCATGAATTTGAAGGAAAGTGGGGAGGGGCATGTGGGAGAGTTTGGAGAGAGGAATGGGAAGGGAGAAATGATGTAATTAAATTAGAAACTCAAAAATTAAATAAAAAAAGAGGTTGTTCTCCCTGAACAGTTTTAGCAAATGCATCCCCATGACTTGAAGTTGCTCTGAGTTTAAAAGCCCTTTGTCTGCACAGGCTTTGAATTATCACCTTGTAGTTTTCTAAAAATGAAAATATACTCAAGTGTCAGTGTGTATCTCCAGAGGAAAAGAAGGAGCTTTCATCCAGATGTGGGTGGAACCAAACACGGACATTGTCATCTGAGAAGCAGAATTTATAGGGGAAAAAAATAGAGGAAAAAATGGTTCTGGGATAATTCAAATCCCAAAGGAAAAAAAAACACACACATCACTTAGCAAATTTCCCACCAGAAATAGGGACACTTGCATGGAGACAGGAAAAGGGAAAAAAAGAAGAAGAAAAACAAACAAACAATTGAATGGAACCCAAAAACAATAGATAAGGAGGTTTCTAAGAGAGAAAATCATTTGTTGTTGTTATTGTTGTTGTTGTTTACAAGAAGCTTTCAGATGGATGTAAGGCTGGCCACAGGTGATAAAAATTTAATCCTTTATTCAAATACAAAGGATTCCTGCAGATATTTTTGCTAATGTTTTAATAGGTACTTTTAAAGATGTATTTACTTTTACTTTATGCATATGAGTATTTTGTCTGAATGTAATGAAAGTACACAGTGTTCATGTTGTGCCCTCAGAAGCTAGAAAAAGGCATCAGGTCCTCAGAACTGGAGCTACAGATGGCTGTGAGTTGCCATGTGGGTGCTGGGAACCCAAACCAGATCAGCACTCTTGACCAGTGAGGCATAGATAAATAAATACAGCAAAAGCAGGGCTATGAGAAGCAGAAAAACAGACAATAAAAACTTTAATTATTAGCAGTTACAGTCAATCAGTGCCATCATCAAAATTAAAAGGCAAACACCAGAATTGAAAACATTTCCGATAAAGATCAATTTAGATAATGTCTTTAATGGGTGATGGTTTTCTTGTGCATCTAATTAGCAACACATCACACACCAAATTAAACCCGGGAAGAATGACAGATGAGCAGCTCTCAAGGAAAGAATGTAAGTGTTTGCCAAACAGATGAAACTGGTACCCTCCCTGTTAAACTGATACCAACAATGTAATGAAAAGGAGAAAGGCATCTTTTTACTTTCAAATTAAAAACTACCCTTGTGATAATGCCAAACTGCCCACATCAGCACTGCTCTCTGCTTTAACAAGAGAACCTTCTGTTTGTAGCAGGCTGAGGTCGATGCAGAGACTCACGTGGTCAGAGTCCTGGAAATAGGTGACTGCTAAGGGGTCAGGCCTGAATGGTGCTCCTATGTCAAGCCCTCCACCATCACACCACTGAAGCTCAGGAAGAAGGAAAAAAAACAGAATGTAAGCAAGAGAATGATGAGCAGCGCCGTGGCACGCTGTCTTCTGGATATGGCACGGCCTCTGACCTCAGGAACTCACAGCAGCACAGTTGCCTGCACAAGACCCACACAAGATCAAGCCAGTTTCCATCTCAGCATGAGTGGGGTCATGGTGCATGAGGAGCTATTGGCACCTAGCAGGGTGGGAGAGTTCTTTTCGTTGTGAATATAACCACTGATAGGTTGCCCATGCTTCAGTGGATGACACCACTTCCATTGGCTGTGTGCATGTAGGCAGCACTGGATGGACTCAATGAGATGATAAGAGAAAAATTCATGAGTTAGGAAGGGGACATATGCTGGGGTCTGGTGGGAGTTGAAAAGGGAAATGGTGGGTGGATTCTATTGAAATGTATTGTATACATGCATGAAAATCTCAAGAAATAAATAAAAATATTATTTAAAAATTATATATAGCGACCTTGTCTCAAAAAACCAAATAATAATAATAATAAGTGAAATAACAAGCTTTATATGTGAAAACTCATTAGCAATGCAGAATGGCAAAGCTGGCATGAACACACGTGTATTTACCAAGATATCTTTAATAATGAAACAAAGTCAGAAGTCCAACAACAGGTGAGTAATCAGATGAGGATCCATAAGATTATTCTTTTGTGCTTCCCTGCTCCCCTATCTGACCTTCCTTTATCCCAAACATCCCATTTCCCAAGTTCCCCCCAACCTCCCCTTCTCACTTTTCTCTCCCCATCTCCCCTTACCTCCCTCCCCCCCTCCCCCAAGATCCCATTTTTTGCCCGGCAATCTTGTCTACTTCCCATAATCAGGAGGATAGCTATATGTTTTTCTTTGGGATCACCTTCTTATTTAGCTTCTTTAGGAGATCAAATTATAGACTCACTGACCTTTATTTATCTCTAGAGACCAATTATGAGTGAGTACGTCCCAAGTTCATCTTTTTGGGTCTGGGTTACCTCACTCAGGATAGTGTGTTCTATTTCCATCCATTTGCAAGCAAAATTCGAGAAGTCATTGTTTTTTACCGCTGAGTAGTATTCTAATGTGTATATATTCCACACTTTCTTCATCCATTCTTCCATTGAAGGACATCTAGGTTGTTTCCAGGTTCTGGCTATTACAAATAATGCTGCTATGAACATAGTTGAACAAATGCCCCTGTCATATGAT